AAAAAAAAAAAAAAAAAGTTGTATTAGAATATTAAACCATGGGTATTGAAATTGAACCTGAGTGTAACTACACTTAAGGCTATCAAAACTTCTAAGTGTTACCTGAGCTTAATGGCATATGCCTGCATTCCCAGCACTGAGAGGGCTAAGGCAAGAGGATCAGAAGAATTCACCAGAGGCATAGCTCAGGTAGCACACTGTGACTGCCTAACAAATGGGAGGCCCTGAGTTCAAACCTCAGCTCAAACTGGAGTTTGAAAGCAACTTGGGCTATGTAATGTGGCCAGACCTCGTTGCAATCTAATATTTTTTCAGAAGGTCAGAAAACCTGTAATATTGTATTAGAAATGTCCAAATGTTTCTACTTTAGAATACATGTAGAAAGTATAAAAAGCAAGGTATTCAGAATAGCTAATGTCCAAGGCCTAAAAGGATTTTTCTCTAGCTTCCACAAAATATAACAAAAGAAAAGTAGCCCCTAGCTACAAACAGCACTGAGGTTGGGACGGGAAGGCTTGCAGCTCACCAATGTGAACAGTCATGCAGGCTGTCGTGAAGAGCCTTCCGAAGCACCGAGTCCTTGTCATAAATACCCCAGGTGGCTTGCAGTACTGAGTCCAGTAAGCAGTCTCCCGCAGTCCGGTTCCACAGGGCATACAGTCGACTGTCCAAACGTGTAGCCAACTCCAAGGACCAGTTTATAATCGGAGATTCTTCTTCTAACTCTACAAGGAATTTACACAACATGCTCACTTTCATGCCTATGTAATTATGAAACTTTTAGTAGGGTAAAGAACTATTTTCTGCATGTAAAAAGGTTTATATGTAATTTACTAATAAAGAGATAAATAACTAATAACTTTCATTGAAACAAACTTTTTGAGTAGTTGAGAAATACTGCATCTCTAATTTATTTAGCTTTCAAGTTCTCCTGTTTAATACATATTATTCATCTGGAATAAGAAGTAGAAAAGCAAACTTTTAAGTCTCTTATGTCTACTTATTTATTCTGGCACAGTTAAGAACTGTACACCTTTTGCCCCTTACCATTTTTTCTGGGACTAGGGAATAAATAGTGTAGGCAAATGCTGTACCACTGAGCTACCATCCCAGGCCCAATGAATAGCATGGTAATAGGCAAATGCTGTAGCACTGAGCTACCATCCCAAGCCCGATGAACAGCACAGTAGAAAACTGCTCTGAAGGACTTCCTTCAGGCTTCTAATTTAAAATAAAAATATCCGGGGGCTGGGAAGATGGCTCAGTGGTAGAGCGCTTGCCTTGCATGCTCGAGGCCCTGGGTTCGATTGCTCAGCACCACATAAGCAAAAAGAAAAAAGCTGGAAGTGGTTCTGTGGCTCAAGTGGTAGAGCGCTAGCCTTGAGCTGAAGAGCTGAGGGACAGTGCACAGGCCCAAAGTTCAGGCCCCAGGACCAGACCCAATAAATAAATAAATAAATAAATCCAACAAGCTGACAATATATCTAAGTACCTTATACTTTACAAAAAAGAAAGGAAAAATTAATTGATCATATAAAAAGTAAATTATTAATTACATGCTTACCCTTTTGAACATCTCTATCAAGCACCTCATCAAATAATTTTTCTTGAACTGTTGGGGGCAAGTCTTCAATATCTACAAAGAAAAATCAGGCTTAAAGAATGTTCTTATGACAGATACCTTTTTTTAATGCATATGAGCAACCTTCCTGTATTTCATTACCAAAAATCTAATATAAAAAATAACCCGAGACCAATATTTACATGTCATTTTTATTGGTTCTCTTCTCTCAGACCTGCTACTTTCAAACTTCTAAACCTCCTCACGGCAGCCAATGCATCATGCATTCTGGCACACAGTATTGTTGCCATGTTCCTCTGCATCTCTGCTCTAGTCAGGTTACATAACAGAGTAGCCTGGAGTAATCACCGGCATTACCCTTATGTTTTTCAAGATTAAAGAAAAGACATTCTGAATTCTAAATAAAAACCTAATCATAACACAGTACATTTCAAATAAAATCTGCGCCAATTGCAGGCATAGCTACTGTCACTTATCCACTCGTGGATATTTCTGTTTATGTCTGGTTCAAAACAGCCAGATCCTATGGAAGCTTTCGTTTTAAAACTTTTGATGTCTGTTGTATTTATGCAATGCTCACTGACAAAAAAGCATTCTGGACAACATTTTCAACTATCAATGAATTGAAAAATTGAAGTTGTTCGTACATATTTAGAAATAAAAGGGTGAAAGTCAAATGGCACCTTCACTGGTGGCAGTATCTTTCATTAAAATAACCTGACTACATAGACATTTCAAAAACCTACATTCTATTGCTTCATCCCAGTAACCAACAGTTAGCTAATTTCAAAACAACAGACTTGGAAAGAAGAAAATTAGAAGTAGGAAATTTTCTAAGTAAAACTTTAAAGAGGAAAATAAATGGGCAAAACATGATTTTAAAATCTATCAGAGCTCACAAAGAATCAGTTACCATCTTCTAAAAACTGAAGTATTTAATGCCAGGCAAGGGTGGCCCACATCTGTAACTAATCCTAGCTACTCAGGAGGCTGAGATCTGAGGATCACAGTTCAAAGTCATTCCAAGCAGGAAAGTTCATAAGATTCTTATCTCCAATTAAGCACTAAGAAAATTGGAATTAGAGCTGTTGCATAATCAGCAGGGCGCTAGCTAGCCTTGAGCAAAAAAGCTCAGGGACAGCGCCTAGGCCTAGTTTAGGCTCCAGGACCTGGCACCCCACCCCCTCCATCCCCCAACCAAAAAAAAAAAAAAAATCCTAAAGCATTTGTTTACAAACAGCTCTTACACTGATCACTTCCAGCATAAACAGGTCAGACAAGTCATTTCAAAATCATATTTTTCATTCCTATATTACTATAATAAAACAAGTTTCTTTTCATGTTAAATGTTGTAGTTACCTGCTGGCAACGTGAATGTTACAAGGTCAGTTAGAAAATAGCAAGCAAAATCCCCCTTTCTCTGATGAAGAGAGGCAGCTATTTCTCTGCGGATTTGTTCTGTCAGTTCAGGACACACCATTGCTGGAATACACTTTGCTGCTTGTTGAGACACCTTAAATACAAAAGAAACTTTCCTCTTTATCTCATCTATCAGAAATGCAAACAAATCACAATAGCATTTAAAAGAAATTAGCAAAATTTCTAAGTATCTGAAGGTTATTCATTTTAATCATAAAATTACTCCCTAGCCAACACCGGTGGTTCACATGGCTAATTCTAGCTACTCAGAAAGTTTAGATCTGAGGATTGTGGTTCAAAGTTGCTGAGGCAGGAATCTGTAAAAGACTTTTATCCCCAGTTAACAACCAGAAATCTGGAAGTTCAAGCACCAGGCTTGAACTAAAAAGCTCAGGGACAATATCTAAGCACTCAGTCAAAGTCCCAGAACTAGCACCAAAACAAAAACAAAAACTAAAACTAAAACCTAACCAATAAAAGTACATATCAATTCAACTTTCAAGAAAAGTCATAAAGGGCTGGGAAGGTTGCTCAGTGGTAGAGCGCTTGCCTTGCACGCATGAGGCCCTGGGTTCGATTCCTCAGCACCACAGAAGCAAAAAGCAAAAAGCCGGAAATGGCACTGTGGCTCAAAGTGGTAGAGCACTAGCCTTGAGCTGAAGAGCTGAGGGACAGTGCCCAGGTCCAGAGTTCAGGCCCCGTGACCAGACCCAAAAAAAAAAAAAAAAGTCATAAAATGGTTTATGCTACATTAGAAATTCTATTTCTTCATATTTACCCAATAGAAATAATAAACAAGCACATAAAAATGTATGTACTAAAGGCTTATTATACATAAAGGTACATAAGAGGTCTCTGAATGGACCAACCGTCATGCACTCAAATTAGAAACATTCTTTGCAAATAAGGAATTAAGATGGGGCAGAGTCGCTCATGCCTACAATCTCATCTATCTGAAAGGCAGAGATAAGGACTGCAGTTTGAGGCCAGTCTGGACCCCAGCTCAACCAATAGCTGGGTTTAGTAGTCATGATCATAAATCCTAGCTACATGCATAAATGATCCTGGTTCAGGTCAGCAAAAAACAAAAACACCAAGACCTATTAGAAAAATAAAACACAAGGGCGATGAGGGCATGGCTCATGTGGCAGAGTGCTGCCTAGCAAAGACACACTGAGTTCTACCCCCACTGAAGAGGGAAAAAATAAACAAAAACTGCAGCTCATAGAAAACATTGCAAACACTTCTTTCACGTTGTTTCAACTAACATGACTTGGAAGAATATATGTATTTAACTGCAATGTTCCTTTTAAATTGCTGATCAGCAACAAATTATACCAGTCTTCTGTCTTATAGTCCAGATGCACTTAGTTTTCGGTGCTGCAACAATCTACATACAGAAAATTCTGTGTGTATAGTTTTATACACACACACATAATAGTTATATATAACTATTTCTCAGAAATCACCAAGATACCAAAAGTCAATCTAAAACTAGCTTTCTACCAATCTGCCAGCCCTCAGTCCCTTTCTCAAAACTGGGAAGACTTTTTGAAAACAACCTGGACTGGACCCTAATGCTGTGAACCTTTCAGGACAAGTTTGACCTCTAAGCATTCCACACATCCTTAGAACAGGATACATCACTGAAGCCTGACGTTCTTCTTCTTGCTTCTTAAACCTTATGAATCCCAACCGTTTCTCTAGGCTAATAATTCTTACCTTACCATCATGAACTGAATTTATGAATTAAATGTGAATTTTATCTTATTATTTAAGTTCAAATCCTTCCTTTTCACTTCTTCCTTTACCAAATGAACTTTCTGGAGTTGAGCATGATAAGATACCAACACTCTTTCCTCCCCAACCCTCTCCCCCCAAAAAAGAACTTCTTAAACTTACACATTTGGTTTAGTATTTTGATAGCTATAATTTAATGTAACTGATTTCCTTTGTAATTTTTTTTAAATTTAAAAACAGGAATGAGCCAGGTGCCAGTGGCTCACGCCTGTAATCCTAGTTACTTAGGAGGCTGAGATCTGAGAATCGGGGTTCAAAGCCAGCCTGGGCAGGAAGGTCCATGAGACAAGTCTTATCTCCAATTAACCACCAGAAAACTGGAAGTGGCGCTGTGGCTCAAGTTGTAAAGCCCTCACCTTGAGCTGAGGAGCTCAAAGACAGCATCCAGGCCTAGAGTTCAAACCCCACAACAACAACAACAACAACAGGAAGTTGTTTCTGAGGCAGGGCCTTGCTATTATATAAACTATGCTGGCCTCCTCAAATTGATGATCCTCCTAACTGCAGCCTTTCTATTGCTTGAATTAATTACAGGCTGTGTCATCACACACAGTTAAAAAATGCCCCACTCGAGCCGGACGCTGGTGGCTCACGCCTGTAATCCTAGCTACTCAGGACGCTGAGATCTGAGGATCGCGGTTCAAAGCCAGCCCGGGCAGGAGAGACCGTGAGACTCCTATCTCCAATAAACCACCAGAAAACC